AAAAAAAAAAAAAAAAAAAAAAAAACAATGAGCCCCTAAACACACAGGACCTCCCTGCACTACTCTCGACATGCACGAACGACAAAACTCATGGCGGTGTATCTTTCCATATGGAGGATTCACATGTGGCGAGGGTCGTGAGGCCGCTGGCATCGCGTCACCCTGGAAAAGGACAAAAAGTGGACCAAGGCCCATGCTGCAAAAAAAAAGGTAATGTATCTTTCCATGTTCCAGCGGAGGATTCACATGTGGTGAGGCCCGCTGGCTGTGGCATCGCGCCGCCCCTATCACAATATTCGAACTATTTGTGCAGGCAAAAAACACGGTGATGCTGGGCCCAGCGGGGAAAGCGACATTCGAACTATTTGTGCAGGCAAAAAACCGCATGATGCAGGCCCGCACTGCCACACTGCACTGACTTCTTGCACTCATTCTGATCCCTTCGTTGGGATGACCCTTATCTTATATTGTTTTTCTTATATTGTTTTTTTTTTTTGTTTTTTGTTTTTTCACAACTGTTTGTTGGATAAGCAGTCTAAGCGAGTTTGGGAAAAAAAAAAAAAGGAAAAAAGTTCAAAAAACTTTAAAAAAGCGGTCGAAATGAGGGCATACTCACACGGCGACCCCAAATCCGCAAAATATGCGGATTTGGGGAGGGCCGATTTGAGGTTTTAGGCATGGTTCACGTCACACTGCTGTACCTTTTCAGATGGGACAAAGTCGCAGCCGTCTGGAGAAATGGGGATTTGGTGCTTGGCTGGTCACACGACGCCATCCACAAATTGTGCAAGAACTTTTGTGAACGAATTTTTGCCAATTTTTGAAGAAAATGCGAAAAAAAAAAAGGGCATTTGCGGTCACCTCCAGAGGTGACCGCAAAATTCCTTGCCCCACAGCTTTCCAGGCCGCTGACAATTGGGCACAGGAATAGTACATTTGCGATTTTGGTAGATCCGTGTGACCGGCCTTTTCCCCTTCTTTTAGGATTTTGGGATTATAGGTCCCCGAGTGAGTATGCCCTGAGTTTGAGTGGTTTTGCATACATCAAACCAGTCTTACCTGCAAATGAACTAAGTTCAGCGACAGCAAAACAGTCTCACCTGAAGCTATATATAAACAAGTCAGCTATAGGGAACACAAGTCTCACCTGAAGCTATATATAGCAAGGTCAGCTATAGGAAACACAAGTCTCACCTGAAGCTGAGACCAAACATGAACGGGCCTAGCTCAGTTGGTACCCCCATGAACTGTTGTTGAAATACAGACCCAAGTTCGAATCTGGATGCAACCACATGAGCCAAAATGAAAATGAAACCATTCTGAAGCTGAGAGCAAACAAGTCGTGCCTGAAAAACATGTGCTAAATGGTCAGCTGCAGCAAACAAGTCTCCCTTGAAACCACCAACCACCAATGAACCAAGCTCAGTTGGTACACCCCTGAATTGTTGAGATACGGACCCAAGTTCGAATCCTCGTGGACCTAGATGTATGCAATGAAGTAAGTCCAAGTTACCTGGGGCGGGTCAGCGCGATGATGATAACGCAAGGGGCCGCCGCCCTTGTGAAAAGAAGTCTCACCTGAAGCTGAGAGCAAACAAGTCTTACCTGAAAATGTGCTAAATGTATCTCCACCCGTCGGGAGTCTGCTTGTACAGTCCTTCGTGTGTCCGTGATGCAGCCAAAACAGAATGTGGGGCTGTGTGCGCTTCAAGGGGTGATCTATCAAAGGCTTGATCTGTCGATCTCTTGATCTCCTGGATGAGTCGATCAATGGAAGCATCATCTGTGTCAGAGTCAGAGATCCTCAGCTGTGCTGTCGGTGTGTTGCCAAGGAGGAGCATGCAGTCGGACTCTGCAAGAATGTGCTAGATCCACAGTGTTTGGTGGTGCGTCTTCCCATGTTCTAGCACCAGATACTTTGGCATGTGGTGCTGAATAGGAGGGGTGGCCTTGCGACCTGATGAAGATGCCAAGATCCAATTGGCCCCCGGTAGGCCCCAGGCGTCCTCCGGAGGGCAACAGGGAGGACCTGGCCTATTTGGGGGGGAAAAAAAGAAGAGGCTGATTGGCCACCACTTTGTTTTTTTTTGTAATCCTACTTTTCTTTGGCAAAAAAAAAAAAGACCCGTTGTCTTTGTCCCCTCACAATTGCCACGGCCCTAGCAATCTTCGCCCCCCCTTGTGCAGTTGACCATCGTCCCGCAAATGTAATGCACCCTCTTTATGACTGTATTGAACCGGAAAGATAGAAAGTATACGTTCTTTGCCCCCTCGTGCAGTTTACTGCCTAAAACCCTTTTCGGAGTAGCTTTCGGAGTTCGCCAAAGTTTTTTTTGAGTTTGGTGTTTTTGCTAAGTTTTTTGTTACTGCTCCAAATACGACGAAACTGAATACAGATATACCCTAAAGCACATATATAACAGGTAAAAAGAAAAACCGAGAAAAAAGTAAAAATTCAGGGAAATATGGCAGTTTCGGTGAAAAATTCGCCAAAATTCGCCGAATTTTGGGCCTTCCATTAACTGCTTCTCCTTATTCCCCTTCTACTGATATTCTTCTTCTTCTTCTTCTTCTACTCATCTTCTTCCTCTTCTTCTTTCCCTTCTACTTGTCTTTTTCTTTTTTCTTTTCCTCTATTCTTTGCTCTCTTCTTGTTTCATTCATGTCCCACATTCTATAACATCCCTGACTATGCCTCAACGCCCCGACTTCTGCCATCCCCCACCTCACTGCCCCGACCCCACCTCACCTTGGATGTGCTTCCGCTTTCCCCTTCTGCACTTTTCCCTGTTCCTCCTTTGTGCACTCCTGACCTTCCCCTCCTCTCGCCCATCTCCTGCCAACCTCTATTCATTATTTCCCTTCGACTTCCGCTCTCGCTGGCCATGTTCCCCGTGACCCCCCCCCCCGGCTGACCGGAGAAAAAGAGCGAAAAAGATAAAGAAAAACACTGGAACACTTGATTTGGGCAGTTCCTGATGGGGGGACAGAAATGCCTTGCCGGCTGTTTTCAACAAAAGAAAATCACCAGGACTTGCCCTGGTACCCCGCCGACGCACAGGTCCTGGTTGCCCAGGCCCGGGTGGCCCGCCCGGGCCTTTTTTGATAGCCTACCGTAGGTGGGCATCTAAATGTTGTAGCTGGCACGAAATGGTCACAAGTGTCGTGCTCCGAATGTAGCACGTAGTTGGAGTTGAAGCATATGCACGCAAAAAAAAAAAAAAAAAAAAAAAAAAAAAAAAAAAAAAAAAAAAAAAAAAAAAAAAAAAAAAAGACAAGGACGAAAGAAGCATCTGCAGCAGCGCACATGGAAATGTCCACTCATGACAAAACTAACACTCTTCTTACAAACACTCTTGGTTTATGATGGTCTGATTGACTCTCGATATCCAGATGGCAGGGAAGCCCACAGGGTCCCCTCTGACGATGATGCGAGACACGGCAGCTTCAAAGAAGGGTCAGCTCCACATCCACTTTTTCCCTATGGTGTTGTAAATACATTGTTGTCAGCTTTGTGAACCTGGTCAGCTTTGTGAACCTGGTGGAAGTGTCTAGGCACAGCTAGTCAGTCAGAATGGTACACTTGTCTCTCACTGGGGCTGTAGAGTGAAGATTGAACGTGATGGTGCCTGGTCGCTGGTGAGCTTTGTGAACCTGGTGGGCTTTGTAAACCTGGTGGCAGTATCTAAGAGATGAAATGGCACAGCTAGTCAGTCAGAACGGTACACTTGTGCAATGACTTGCTGTTTCTGGTCGCCTGTAGCCTCTCTCTGTCGAGGCTGTACCATAGGTTGGAACATATTCGTAATTTTGTTTGGCTGAGGGCTAACCGAGTGAAATCTTTCTGGATATAGCAAGGCATTTCTGCTCCCCAATCAGGAACTGCCCAGTTTTTTTTTTTGTTTTTGCCTACCTGGATAAACTTTCTATCCCTGCATTGCCAACTTCTTCTTCTTTGTTTTTGTTTTGAAAGGATGCACAACATTGCCAAGTTCTTCTTCTGTCCTTGTCTCACTTCTTCTTTTTTTTCTTTTCCATGCTAATCTTCTCTGTATCTTTCCGATGTTAACGGATGTCCCGAAAGGACATCCTTGTCCGGCTTCTTTTTTTTGTTTTTTAACGACGATGGCCGTTAGATAACATGATTGAACTGACTGGACCCAGGAAATTCAGAATGATTTTGTTCTTGTCATCTGAGGGTATCTGGATTTGATTTGAACTTGGAGGGCTCTGTATTTCAACAGTTCAGGGGTGTACCGACTGACCTAGGCCCGTTGCTTTTTTGTGTCCCACTTCTTGTTTCTCCCCTTTCCCTTTTTTTTTCCTTTTTTCTCTTTTTAAAAGTTTTTTTTTAATGCGTGTCATCCTCGCGCAGGGGCCATGTTAATCTTATCTGTATCGTGCCAATTTTAATGGATGTCCCGAAGGACAACCTTCCCTCTTTTTGTTTCTTGATGTGTATCTTTCCATTAGGGAAAAAAGAAAAGAAGAAAAAAAGAAAATGAACATGGGTAAAGCCATTTCCTTCTTTAGTTTTCTTCCCCCCCCCCCCTGCCTTCCTTATCGCTATTAATATGGATGAAAGTCTGAACAAAGTGTATGATTACCAGAAATGTGGCATCGTATGATTACCAGTAATCTTGTGTACCGCTTTTTCGGAATCGCACAGAAAGTGACCAGTTGGACAAAAAGACTCGAAAAGTGCATGATTACCAGAAATGTGGCATCACATTTTGTTCCCCCCCCACTCTTCCACCCCCTCCCCCCCCCCCCCCCCTTGCAAGTGCTTTGTGCCATGTGGATATTCTCCGTCTGTGAGTTTCTGCACTCAGTTCCATCCATGTCTTTACTGCTCTCTTCCCTCGGTCCTCTTCACGCTCTCGTCTCTTGCCCACTTTCCCTTTCCCTCTCCCCCTCTCTCCCTGTCTCCCAACTCTCTTCAGCTGTTTCTATCTCCTGTACTGATCACCCCTGTCCTCTTCGCTTGTGCTTCATCCCTCTCAGGGAGGCTTAACCATGCATGCATGCTGTCGTCATGCGTTTTTTCTTTCTGTGCAGATATTGCGCTGCAAACCCTGGTGAGTTGGAGTGACGTGAAGCTGTGGTATATTCGAATACAACACACATGTGTTGTATTCAAATCATTGAAATTGCTCTCCAAACCCTGAAAATCCGCAGGAAAGCCGGTGCTCTTGAAGTCCTTGGATGTTATGTTTGCTGAGCTGTCGTCTTCCCCCGAACATAACACATATGTGTTGTAAACGAATACAAGGCATAGGTTGCTTGCTGTTCGAATACAACACATGCGCGTTATGTTCGGGGAACGACTCTAGTAGTTAAAATTTGGAGCATGGTTGACACGTTTCGGCCCTCTTCTTCCGATTCCAAGTTTTGTTGTATCTATATTTAGCCCTGTGCTTTTTCTTCAACAGTTTCCATCTTCCTTCCTCTCCCCTTCCTGTCATTTCTCCTCCCCTCCCTCCCTGCTCCTGCTCCTCCTGCTTCACCACCTCCTCCTCTTCTCCGCTTACTTTTCTCTCTGTGTTTATGATTGACACTTTGCCCTTTTCTGCTGATTCTACCTTCTTCAGCCTAGCACAATCTACAGTCAATATTTCTGTATTTAGACGTAAAGATACCCCAAATACAGCCATAATGACCGTCGGTTGTATTCGGGTGAAGGAGGTAGTTTCACCTTGCCCTTTTCTGGTACGTACTATTGTTGACACCAGGGTAGCCGGCGCTCGGCCGGGGCCGAACAGCCGAACCCGAATGCCCTAACGTTCGCGCTCGCCACTCCCGCCCCCCGGACGTTTGGAACAACGCCAGCTTTTAATTTCTCTTCTCTCTTTTTTTTGGCAGATGGTTTGCGGAGGAGGTGTTGATGAGTCGGTGAAACTTCGACGAAACAGTTTGTCACAGCCCCTCGTTTGTTGTCCTCTTCTCCCTCTCTGCCTACGGTTTACCGGGCAGTTCTATTTGACGATATATACGTTTTAAAAAATATATGTACATATTATGGTGGGGGGGGCGAGTTGCCCACTGAACGGCTGGGCACCAACCCGGATGATGCGTGTGTGTGTGTGTGTGTGTGTGTCGGGGGGGGGGAAGGCCCCCACACAATCAATCAATCAATTAATCAATCAATCAAAAAAAGTTGGAAAAAAAAAAGCAACATTGATTGATTGATTGATTGATTGGTTGGAGGGGGGGAGCGACCCCACCCTGAAATCAGACTCGCTTCTTCTCACTTCGCATGCATGTACACAGATGGTGAGACACAATGGCGCCAGGCGCCCACACAAAGCTCAGAGATAACACGGCCCAGAATACACTTCAGATACAAACTCGCTTCTGATTGGCTATGGCGCATAAGCGCCACACATCTGTCCGACACTGTACTCGCACAACTGTTCACACACACTCGACTCTCGATCTCCCTGGATATCCCACACACACTCAAACTGCATCACACACACGTACATACACGCACTCTACTTCCTATCGCTAGCTATGGCGGCTATGGCCGCCGTCTCTTTCTACTACTAGCAGCGATGGCTGCTCCGCTCCTTCCTCAGCCCACTTCGACTTCAGGCATCTGCAGACCAGCTCGCGCAAGACGCTAGGGCAGTGCTTCCCCATGGCTCACGCAGGAATAAATGAATAGCTGGACGCTGCCTCTTGACTTATACTTCTGTAGGCCGCTGGTATGCCTCTTTCCATCACACACACGTACATACACACACTCTACTTCCTATTGCTAGCTATGGCGGCTATGGCCGCCGTCTACTTCTACTACTAGCAGCGATGGCTGCTCCGCTCCTTCCTCAGCCCACTTCGACTTCAGGCATCTGCAGACCAGCTCGCGCAAGACGCTAGGGCAGCGCTTCCGTATGGCTCACGCAGGAATAAATGAATAGCTGGACTCTGCCTCTTGATTTATACTTCTGTAGGCCGCTGGTCTGCCTCTTTCCATCGGGCGCACGGTGCACGCAGTCCCACATGGTACTTGCTCACTAGACAAAGTAAGACTGGGACTGGGTACCGCTGACTAGACAAAGTTGGACTGCCTACTTGCTCACATGCCTCTGGCCAAACGTGGAAACTCTTGAAAGGCCACTTCCAGACCTCCTGGAAGTTTGCGGACTTGGCCTTTCGGGACTGTAGCAGGTACGACCTTGACCTTTCAGGACTGTAGCAGCTACGACCTTTACCTTTCAGAACTACAACAACTACGACTCCTATGCAGGTATGACCCCTACTTCGACATGTCTATGGTTCAAGACCCGACAACTACTCAGACCTACGACAAAACTTTCAACTACTAACACACAGGTCACAGGTTCAAGACACACAGGGTCGACTTGATACTGTACACAGGTAAGGTAAGGTAAGGAAAGGTCTGGGGATCGAGCCCTGGGATCTGCATCTGTGACTGCAAAAGGTGAAAACCGTTTCACGCCCGCCGGGCAAAATTCGAGTTCCCCCGAGAATACTTCAGTGTAAAGTAGGACCTTTACCTTTCTCATCTCTTTCATAGGCTCGAACTATATCGGGAGCGGTCTCTAGAAGTTCTACTCGGGTAAACCAGCGATTGTCTTTCGGTTCTTGATAGGCAAATCTCACCTTGTACTGTTTTTGTGGGCGACCTCTACCTCCTGATCCTAACATATCTTCACCTACAATGTTCAATTTCGTACCTTCCATCCATGTCCGGAGGAATCATGGACCTCCGTGATGGAAACTGCTGACTTGTGGTACAAGGCAAAACAATGAAAAACTGGGTAGGTGTGGAGGTGTGCTGGAATCTCGACTGTGTAGGATGGTCCATCTTCTCTGCCCTTTAACTTCTAAGACTGGCTACGGTCCTCGATATGCAGGCAATAACTTTTGTGAGATGTTTTCCTCCGGAGCAAACTCCTTTAACTTAACCCAAACTAAGTCGCCTTCTTGGAACTGTGACGGGCGACAATGCTTATTAGCTTGTTCTATCATCTTGTGCTGAGCCTTCCTGAGGTTCTCTACATCGGTAGCTATCTCTTTCGTGCTGTATCGCAAATTCCCTTGTACCGGGCGGTAGTCTCTGGATCTGATCCTGGTTCAGTCCGTCAAACGATCTACGTGGTCTAAAGGACTTACGCAACTCATTGGGAGTGTGACAGGTCACTAAGTGCACACTATTGTTTTATGCGCTGGCTACTTTTGGGAGCATCTCATCCCAGTTAACTAGATCAGGTCTAATATACATTCTGAGAATTTGTTGCAGGATTTTGTTCATCCGTTCAGTCTGACCGTTAGTCTCTTGATTACGGCCAGATGACATCAACAGCCGTAGACTCTCATCAACTCCTGTAAGTTCTGACTAGTGTACCTGGTATCTCTGTCGCTAACTATCGACAGCGGAAGACCATGCTCACAGACCCAATGATCAAAGAACTTATCTATAACTAAGTCTGTACGGGCCTCTGTGGGTAAAGGAACAAAAACTGCGTACTTGCTAAATCTATCAACTATAACCATGACTTGGCTTTGGCCATGCCTACTCCTGATCCTTGCATCCATAAAGTCGATGGACACAGAATCTCGGGGGCCTGCTGGAATAGGCAGTGGTCTGAGAAGACCAAGAGGGGCTCACATAGTGGTTTTGTTCCGTTGGCATACCTTGCAACTACAATCAGCTTTCATACCAGGCCAGGTATACACGCGCATAAGGTTGGCTAATGTCTTTTGCCAACCGAAATGTCCCTCTGTATCATGACATTCCCCTAAGATCAAACTACGGATCTCTTCACTGTTGGGGATGCATAGGCGGTCAGCTATGTTAGTCTTCTCGAACAGTAAACCATCTGTAGTGCAGTAACCTGGTTCAGTCCCTGGAGACTCCTTAACCCTTTTGAGGAGATGGCTATAGATAGGGTCCTGCGCATACGCGTCCTTGACTTGCTATTGCACGTGTTTCCCTATATCCAGATAGTGAGCTATCGCTCCAAAGTAATCAGCCCTCGTACTCAGAGCGTCCGCGACTACATTACACTTTCCTTTCACTGGCTTGAGCTCAAAGTCAAACTGATCTATCTCGGCGGCCCACCTAGTAAGCTTAGGTGTCATCTTGGCCTGCGTCTTCAACCACCTCAATGTCTCGTGGTCTGAATAAACTTTGAAGTGCCTCCCAAGCAAGTAGTGCTTCCAGTGATCTAGTGCTTGCCTGAGAGCGTAGAGTTCCTTCTCATAGGTAGATGTCGCTACCTTCTCTGAAGGCATTCTAACAGACATGAACTCTACGGGTCTATACCCATTGCCATCATCTTGCTGTAAAACATTCTAGCAGACATGGAACTCTACGGGTCTATACCCATTGCCATCATGTTGCTGTAAAATAACACCTATACCGTACTGACTTGCATTAGCAGTGACAACAAAAGGTAAGGATGGATCGACTACCTTGAGGACCGAGTATTCTATCAAGGCCCGCTTTAACTTCTTCAGGGCCAAAGTACAGTCTTTATCCCATTCCCAGATTGCTTCTTTCTTTAACAACCTGCGAAGGGGTGTAGCGATAGTGGAGAAGTTCCTCACGAACTTTCTATAATAGTTGGCTAGGCCTAGGAACGACCGCAACTCTGTCAATGTGCGGGGCGTCGGGCAATCCCGGATCGTTGCTATCTTATTGTCCTCAGGTTTTATACCATCTCCATCTAAGACGTGGCCCAAGTACAATACTTGCGTCTTGGCCCACTTGCACTTCARGACCTGCTTTAACTTCTTCARGGCCAAAGTACAATCTTTATCCCATTCCCAGATTGCTTCTTTCTTTAACAACTTGCGAAGGGGTGCAGCGATAGTGGAGAAGTTCCTCACAAACTTTCTATAATAGTTGGCTAGGCCTAGGAACCAACTCAACTCTGTCAATGTGCGGGGCGTCGKCCAATCCCGGATCGCTGCTATCTTATTGTCCYCAGGTTTTAKACCATCTCCATCTAARACGTGGCCCAAGTACAATACTTGCGTCTTGGCCCACTCGCACTTCTTTGCGTTAATCTTRAAGTTAGCTTCCTAGACTCCCTCKACATAATCCTYGACTCGCATGGTGCGGTTGTCTGCGAGGATACTGACTATAGGGTCTTCTAACTCCTAGACCTTTTAGATTTAACTTCAGCTTCTGCAGCGCTTTCCTACTARTATAGTTGCGGGTGGCCCCACTGTCTACAAGGGCCCCTACTCTGCCTCTAAAGACCTCTACATCTACTAAAACTAGCTGTCTTGTCGCATCCTTCTTCATCTTGGCCCAGGCAGGTATCCTCTCCAACTTTTCTACCCCACCTGTGAGGGAAGTGCCTAGAGAGACTCTAACACAAGCAGTCTCTGGACAACTGTCTAGGCACTGGCTGGACAACTGTCTAGGCACTGGCCGACAACCTCTACCATAGACACATGCAACGCTTTCCTACTAATATAGTTGTGGGTGGCCCCACTGTCTACAAGGGCCCCCACTCTGCCTCTAAAGACCTCTACATCTACTAAAACTAGTYGTCTTCTCGCATCCTTCTTCATCTTGGCCCAGACAGGCATCCTCTCCTTCAACTCTCTTGCCACACCTGTGAGGGAAGTGCCTAGAGAGACTCTAACACAAGCAGTCTCTGGACAATTGTCTAGGCACTGGCYGACAACCTCTGCAATAGACACATGTGGTTTGGGAGTTTCTGTGTGGTGCGCRCACTCTTCTCCACATGGTCTAGGGATAGGGGCAATTGCARTCCCTACAGGCGGTTGCCTTTTGCTGCTTGTGCARCAAATCGGGCATCTCTGTACTTAGAGGCAATATTTAATGATATGCCCAGGATCACCGCAATAAATACACTGATCCTGGTTTATTCTCTGTTGCCACACTATTTGTTCTAGGTCCAGGTCTTCCCAGGGTGCGATCCACCCCTCCTGGGAGGTGATCGGTTGTAACCAAAGTGGTTTTGCGGGGGACCTTGACCCCTACCTCCAGCTTGGCGGCCTCATCTACCACCAACCCCTTGATCGCCCTGTCCTCGACCACCGGAGGCCCTGCCCCCTTGGCCCCGACCTCCTCCTCTTCCTTGCGGCCTCCCTCCAGCCGCGACAAGCGCGTAAGTCCTCCCCTGACTATCGTCACTATCCTCCTCCTCAAGGCCCCACTCTATCTGATTATATGGGACCTTCTCCATACCACCTTCATCTAACATCAGGATCAAGTGATCCTTGGCCTTGACTTGGCTAGAGTTGGTATGGTCCTTCCACTTTTTGCCCTTGTCAAGGTCCTTGTGCCAGAAAGTGGAAATTGGCATGGGCTGCGCCTCAAAAGATACCACTTCCCTACTCAAGGTATCGTAGGTCATGGCCTGCTCCTTGCTCTTCTCGAAGAAGAGCCCGCGCAACGGCTCGGGCATGGCACGATAGAAAAGATTGACCAGTTGGGTCTCAGTGATCCCATGGTCAGGGACAACTACCAACTCATTCATTACTCCAAAGGCTCTAATCCCGCTAGTGACATCAGCAGATCTCTCGCGCAGCAGCTTACGGAATCCGTTCAGAGGGGTGATTGCCGAGTAGGCTACCATATCATTATCACACTTAGCAGCACGGGCGAGCGACCTGGCGAAGCTTGCTGCTTCGTCCTTGAGAGCGTGGAAGACAATTAGGAGCTGCTCCTCAGGTACGATCTTCAAGAGGTGAACATAAGAGTTAACGTTCGCCTCCCAGTTGTCAAAGTTCTCTGCCTTCTTCCCACTGTAGGGATCAGGGAACTTGACTTTGACCGGGTCCCTACGGGGACGATCTTTCTCCTTCCTTGGAGCTACTAGTTTGGCGCCTTCTTATGGCACCAGTGTAGGATCGCTCTGTGCTCGCCATCCGGGCCTTTACTTTCGTGCCCACGTGCATCATCATTTCCTGTGCAAACTCCCTGAAACCTAGGTGTATGGATCGCAAAGCTACATCCTGGCCCCTTGCAAACTGATATTGCTCTTCGTGGGCCCTTGCTAGAAGTTCTATGTTCCTAGCCATTACGTCCATCTTCCCCTGCCAATCGCCTTGCGCCTCCATCTGTGACCTCTGTTGTTTTACCGCCTCCAATTCTTTCGAGGCCTTGCTTGCCTCCTCCATCCTCTTCTTCTTTTCCCTAGTCAGACTTAACTTCCGTTCTAACTTCTTCTCCTCTTCTATCGTCCGACGCTTGAGAGTATCTTCTTCGGCTTCCAACTCTTGTATGACCGCCTCCTGTTCTGCCCTGGAGGCATAAAACATCGCCGCCTCCTCTTCTCCCAGGGACAAATTAGCAACCCATTCAGAGACCTTTTTCTCTAACCAGGGGTCCTCCTTTGTACCACTTGCATCTCCTCTTTCCTTGGTACTTCTTCTGATCAGAGGCACTTCTTCTTCCACCTTTTTCTCTTCTTCTTCTTCTTCTTCATCTTTTTCTTCTTCTGCTGCTTCCACTGCTTTCAACTTTTCTTCTTCCTCTCTTTTCAACTTCTCCAACTGCTCCAACTTCTTTTTGGCGCCTTGCTCGTCCAGTAAGGCCAACTTTTTGGCCTGCTTCACCACTTCCCTCTTCTCCTTCCTGGCCTTTTGCCCGACCAGAATCCTGGCGGCCTCCTCCTCCTGCTCCTTCGTGTAGGGAGTGGTACTAGCACCCCCCCCTCGTGTCAACTCTACACGTGAAGCCATTCCAGAAGCCTAGCGGAAAAAGAAGACGCCAAAGGGTCCCCCAGAGGGAGAACCCCATGAGCAAGCCATACATAGGGTAATCATCCATGGTGCTGGGTGCACGACAATGACTGTCCCACTCCTCACCACTTAGACCTACCCACCGAACTGACTGATTGTCTGTCTAAGGACTACATGATCCGGGTAGGACCCTGTCAACTATGGTCTCTAGCCTAGACCTATTACTAAGCTGTCACTACAGGACTTAAATGCTGATCAGGATGCATTTAAGGAGATCCCCCGTAACTCCTCAGGAATTCACAAGCGGTTATCGGGTAGCTGAAAATTCAGGAATGAAAATTCTGAAGTGAGAGTTTTGGGCAGTCTGAAAATCCTGAATGGTCCTGAAGTGGTGAAAGGTCCGAAGACCTGAAAACCACCTGTTTAGGCAGGCTGCATCTTGAAGTGGTGAAGGGTGATACAACGGAAATTTAGAGGTAGCCTGAGGTAGGTGCTTTAGGTTGTGCTTTATCTACAGAAAAAAAAAAAATTCGGAAAAAAAAAGGGCCCGCAATAGGGTTTCGCGGGCCGGGAAACGCTGGTTGGACGGGGCCCAAACCCGGTCCGAACCCCCGAATGTCGGTGGGGGGGTCTAACCCCCCCCCCCCACGCCCCCCCAAACGTTCGGGCTGGTAACCCCTCATTGACACCCTTCCTCTCCCCTTTCGATCTACATCTGGACGATCTCGAGTGTGGCCAAGGTACCTTTTTCTCACTGAACGTCGGTGCTGTTGAAAGTGTTACGTAATTGTTTTTCCTTCTCCTTTTTGGCGGCGATCTGGACGTCGGAGATCAGAAGTTGCTATTGAACGGATTTGCTGTGATCCAAGGATATATCGGCTTCTAGGCGTCGATGCAATGGTATCAAACTTCATGCCCTTGATAACAGGCGTTCGATTACGGTGTCAGAGCTTTGTGCAGTTCCGAATCCGATTCCTGCTGCTGTCTTACATCGGCCCCAAAGACATGAAGAGCACGAAAAAGTAGAGGTTGGGAAAAAAACCGGGTTGACGTGCCCGCGCAAAAGGTCAGCGGGGGAAAAAAAAAACGATTGGTCCACGTGCGTGCTGAAAGAGCAATGCACTGGAGGAAAAAAAAGAAAAGAAAGAAGGGCGAAATAGAAAGTGCAACGCACCCAGAAAAAAAAAAGAAAAAAAAAAGAAAAAAAAAGAAAAAAAAAGAAAAAAAGAAAAAAAGAAAAAAGAGCAGCACACACAGCCTGTGTGGGTGCATGACACCACCCAATTCATGAACAGTTGATTATAAATAAAAAAAAATCTGATCTGGAATCCCGCTCCTGGGGCTAGTGGCTTCTGCGATGACACCTCAAGGCTGCCACCCAAATTTTAAGACCAAAAAAAAAAAAAACAATAAGGACTGTGCAGTAAAAAAGCAACGGCCGTGTATGACTGAATGGGGCACCCACTCATGAACTGTTGCTCAACAGACTTGAGTTTCAATCCTGTTGATCAGATGAACAAAATAACTGTGAATTACCTGGTGCCGGTTAGTTTGAAGATGGTACCCCAAGGTCGCCACCCGATGTTGAGGTTGCGCTGCCACGGTGCAACACGCAATCCAAGGCGCCACGGCACAAGCACAAGCGCTCTCAGGCACGCAAGCACTTGCACACTCACCCATCATGCATGCACTCGGTCACACGCGCACACATGCACTCGCTCACACACACACCCGCACACACACAGGCAAACACACACACACACACACACACACACACATACACAGAAATTGTTGTCCAGCTTTCGTATATAAACTCTTTTATCTTTGGTCGTTTTTCTACATGTTCCTATAGAGGTACATCGTATTTTATGTTGATGTGAGTTTCTTTCATGCCTTATGGCAGAGGCCAAGGAGTGGTGAATGTCTTGTGAGGCATAGTAGAAGCTGTATATAGGCAAACACACGTACCTCTCTGGGTAGGAACACCAGATCGAGCTGATTAAATGGAGGAGAAATTACTAAATTAGTGCCAACGATGCTCGATGATCTAATACTGTTCCCCCGAGGTTGCTTAAGCGACCCCGCAATCTTCTTACCTATTTAAAGTTTGTGAGAATACTTGTTGTTTTTGCTATTTTCACCTCAGGAAGCATTGCTGGAGGGCCGCGACGAAACCTTGTTCTGGGCAAGAACGTTAAATGGCGACAAGGGAGAGACGAGGAGGAAAGAAGGTGATGAGAAATTGGGGGAGGATTCAATTTTGGCACGATGCAAATCGGAGCTCATGGGTGTGGATGCAGCTAGCCAAGCCAGTGAAAGCTGTGATGATGTCCATGAGCAGCACAGGAGGTGGGAGAGTGGGAGTTGGGACACAGTGAGTACTGTGAGTGACATCTCATCCAATTGGCGGTGGGGGCCCAGTGGCAGTGGGAAATGGCCATCGGCGACGGAAAAGGGGTCTGATATTGAAGGGGATAAAAGGGGGTCTGATCTTGAGCGGGACAATAAAAGGGGGTGTGGTTTTGAACGGGATAATAAAAGGGGGGCTGATTTTGAACGGGAGAGTAAAAGGGGCTCCGACTTTGAACGGGACAAAAGAGGGGCTGATTTGGAAAGTGATAGAAGGTGGGACGACCGATGGACAGGCGCAAGGAAGCGAGAGGAAGGGGACACGCGCAGGCTCAGCCAGGCGGAGAGCAGGCGGATATCGGGTGATGTTGCTGAGCGCGTGAAGAAATGGGAAAGCGGCCGGTTCGACAGCATGAAGCTCGAAAGCTTGCTGGGAATGGACGAAGAAAGGAAAGTGAGCGGTTTAGAGCGCAGTACGTCGTTGCGGGCAGGAAGCGCAGCTGGTCCTGGCAAGGAAGGACGGCGGCCCTTTCAGCTGACATTGGATCGTCACAGCATTGCCAACAAGAGGGGATCAGAGTGCAACCTGCTGGATGAGAAATGGCGTGAAGGAGCGAGCCCTCGAAGAAAGATTCTTGAGAAATGGGGCATGGAGGCCGCACACACCCCTTCCGTGAGACCCACGTTGGACAGCCCACGGAGAAGGGGGGGGGAGGGCTTGGAGAGATCGGCGAGCATGCGACCGAGTATGGGGTCTGACTGGCGCGGAAGCGAGCAATATCAACCACTGGATTTCGGCCTCAGGCACGTGGCTAGCGAATCAAGATTTGTAGCAGCTGCACTGCTGAGTACCAAAGCTGGAGAGTTCGATCCGGAGGGCGGATTACTATCATTTAGCACGTCGGCCAGACCTGGGGGAGAAGTGACACCTAGGAAGTTTGGAGGTGTCGTGGACACGAGGACTCCTGAAAAGGACGGCGGTGTGGAGGGAAGGAGGAACTGGTCAGCGACAGGGGCAGAGTCTCGAAGCCCGGAGAGGAGGAGGGGAATGCTTGAGACGAGGGGAACAGAGTCGAGAAGGTTTTCAGAGAATTGGGGGGGATCGGATAGAAGGCCACCCTCGGCGCGGTTATATGGCCGGGCGACAAAGGACGATGTACCATTGCCTCCGGAAAGACGTCTGCTGAGCCTGGAGAGTATGAAGAGGAGGGGACTCGATCGGCAACGGAGTATTAGGCAAGACGAGATGTCTCCTTGCCCAGTGGTTGGGGGACTGGATCGGCAACGAAGTATCCGGCAAGAAGAGATGTCTCCCCGACCAGTGCTTGGGGGACTCGATCGCCAACGAAGTATTAGGCACGAAGAGATGTCTCCTCGTTCCGCAGTTGCCCATGGCCAGGCCAATGGAACAGGGGAAGGTTTCTGGGGGCTTATACACAAAGCCAAGTCCGTGCTCCTGGAGCGAGGTGCAGCAGCTGTCTTGGAAGAAGACGAAAGAAGAGATCATGATGAGGTACAGCGTTGAGATTGGTGCTAAACGCTTCATGCATTTCCCTCTCAGGGCATACTCACACTAGGACTTTCCTCCTGGATGTATCTGACTGGACTTCTGCCTTGGCCTGGATGTATCTAACCGCAATTACGTTCAGAGCTCGCTCCAAAAAAAAAACAGTCCTATCGAGAGTATGCTCTCAGATGGCGAATGCTTTTCCTTTCCTTGTCTGAAAGGTTCGCCGGAATTCCGGTCTGACCAGCTGTATGGTCCCCCTAACAGGCCATGTGCACTCATTTCTTCTTCATCAGTTTTTCTTTTCCTTTGGGTCCATGTGAGAGCCTATTTGGGCTGTTGCTGTATTCTCGTCTGCTGATGTCCGAGGCCCGTTGGTTCTTGTCAGTCTTTGTGCTTCGCATATATACCTCGTTCACCCCTTTGTTCCGGTCGAATGGTTGTGTATATGTCACACACACACACACACACACACACACACAGAGAGAGAGAGAGAGAGAGAGAGAGAGACTATGTAGGTCATTCACCCATTTGTTCCGGTCGAATGGTTGTGTCTATGTCACACACACACACACACACACACACACACACACACACACAGAGAGAGAGAGAGAGAGAGAGAGAGAGAGAGAGAGAGAGAGAGAGAGAGA